CACCAGAATTCTCATGTATGATCAAGTCATATGAAAATTGCAATTGCCTGTCCCGATTTATCCCACTCGTCGGCGTTACTGGGTTCGCTTCGAGTGACTGCTTAACGAAGCACCTATAGCTGCCGTAATTCTACATCACCTACTAGTAGGGTTCACTACCAAGCTTTATTGCTCTCTGAACATGGATTGACTAATATCCCTATCCCAGGGGTTTCGCCAGTAAGGTTCACACTCGCGGAAATCGGACCCACCTGGGATGTCGTTGTTGAATGACTCGGACTCTTGACGGGTACCAGCCGAGAGGGACTCGGCCCGTATATAGACTCAGCCGTTTTCCGGATGTCTCACTCTCCAGCATTTTCTTCTACACGTCCATTCCTATACCCGTGGTATCGTCGGAACTATAATGTTCTTGAGGCCAACAATGGGACCAACACCAGTGGTGTAGCCACGACATTATTTCGGTGGGTGCTTTCTTCTCAGTCTCGGCTGGTTTCCGCCTATAGTTCACAACCCGGTACATACCTTGATCCCTGCGTATCTCATCGCAATAAGTGCTGGCGGGACCCTGTAAGTATTAGCAATAATGACACAATGTGCAGTGTTAACGCTAAAGGGTATGGAGGAAAGTGGCATGACCGTGGCTTCATACAGGATGCGCAAGCTTTCTCAACTGTAGCAAAGTTTGCTTCATGGTATTCCGTCCTTCCATGCCATCTAATTCGTAATTAGATAGGGTGCTTCTTCACTCTCACGAGGTTCTGAGTGGCTTCGGGTTTTCTTTCGCCATCGAGCAATCTTGAGGGGTAGTACTTCCATTGCTGCATATGAATTCGAGACAACATAGGGTTGCGCTACAGTGGCTCTATCGGGTGGGACTACAATGCTCAGTGACTAGATGCAGAAGTATGTCTCAGTATTCGGACAGATAGAAATGCGAAGCTTACTCTTCAGACCGTTAATGCGACGTGAGGGTGGATTCTTCACGGAATATCGACTATGAACGTTCCCACTCCACTAAAAAGCCAACATGGGGCGACCTCTTTAGCCTTGCAGTTAATGGCATGTTTAATATATAGGCGGAATACGGCCCACTTCAACAAAATATAGGTGCATATTCTGTTCCTTTTTGTTCTGGTCCAAATAGCCAGAAGAAGATGGGAGACAAGCGTGCTGCGATGCATGCTTTTCAGCTGGAAGCATGCAGATGAAAAATAGGATAAAATTGAAATGGCATGAATATATAAAAGTGTCAGGACAGAGTACAGGAGAAGGATTGCATTGATACTAGCCTTCTTTGCTAACCATATCTTGCCCTGTCATATTGACCCGAGTCAGTGATAAGGTATTGTTTTAGTCCAAATCTATCGGACTTTTCATACGTCTATCTCGCAATCAGCATTGAGCACCAAAGCCCGCCGGAGAACACATTTTGCCCTCGGCTCGGAGGAGATCAGGCGATCTGTTCTTCGAAGGATGTTTCTTGGCAATATATTTGCCTGCTATATAACTCACTGAACTATAGCCAAGACAGAGCTCGACGCTTGGCAATAGGAAGAATACAATATCTCGGGACCTTGGCCAGGCGATTAGCAGGGGAAGATGCCACGGAACTGCAAGAGTGTGGAGTCTAATGAGTCTAGTTGCAGCTGTCATGGGGTAAATTTGATTATTCGCTAGGGCTTCTCTTGTTGATACGAGTAGAACCTCGGAAACGCAAGCGCTAGCCAAGCCTCTGATTCAGGCAAGTCCACATGGTGAGCCCTCAAGACATGATGCTATCCAATTCACTCTGTCTATATCTAGTAACGACTAGGTAGGGTCATCCATTATAAATATGGACGGCTTGCTCCTATTCCAGCTCTCTCCAGAAGAACAAACTCGCGTGCACCACAACTCCACGATCCAACACGACTGAGCTTAACCATGCACCATCTCTTGTTCAGTCTCCTCGGCCTGGTGGCCGGCACCGCTTATGCGGCTCCAGTTCCAGAGGTCTCCAGCGTGAACACTGTCCGCAACGGCCCTCCAGCGGGCTGTCTCACTGTTGGTGCCGCTGGGCAGCATCATACCGTGGGAGCTGCGCTGAGCGCCCTCGGATCTTCATCCTCACCTGCCTGTATCTACATCGCTCAGGGAACGTACAAAGAGCAAGTTGTCATTGACTACAAGGGCGCCTTGACTCTGTATGGCGAGACTTCAGACACCTCAACATACAAGGGAAATCGTGTCACAATTACCCATACTATCTCCTCCGATGACGCTGGTACCCTGGATGATAGCGCTACACTGCGAGTGAGATCTAATGACTTCAAAATGTACAATATCAACGTGGTGAACGGCTATGGACCAGGCAAACAGGCGCTTGCGTAAGTGCATCCTTACTATGCTGATTCAAAAATGCCCAAAGGTCCCTGACGAGACCAACGCGTGGTAGACTATCTGCAGATGCAAACCACCTGGGCTTTTATGGCTGTCAATTCCGTGGTTACCAGGATACCGTCTTCACTAAGACGGGAACTCAATTTTTCTCCAAGTGTTTGATCCAGGGTAAGTCGTATACCCTTTTGGTGTGAGGCCTTTTTAACAACAAACCCAGGGTCGGTTGATTACATCTTCGGAGGTGGATCGGCTTGGTTCAACCAATGTGATATCCGCTCCACTGCCCCTGGTTATATCACTGCCAGCGGACGTGAGAAGGCCGACAATTCTTGGCTCGCCTTTGATCGCTGTACCGTTACCGGGGCTGGCGGCGTGGACCTGAGGGAGAAGGTTTTCCTGGGAAGGCCTTGGCGGCCTCTGGCACGGGTTATCTATCAAAATTCGGATATGAGTGACGTTGTTGCGCCAAAGGGATGGAGTCGCATGGCCAAGGGCGCGACTCCACTGTTTTACGAATTCAAAAACACCGGAGTGGGTTCGAACACATCGAAGCGAGAGTTCTTGTCGCCCATCGCTGCGGCCGTCACGCGAGAGAGTGTTTTGGGTAATGACGCTGTTAATTGGGTTGATGCGCGATTCTAGAAGGCCGCAGGGTCAGAAACACGGCTCACAGAAAAGCCAAGGGAGGTTTACATTAGTAGCTTACTTCTGGGGATCCACAGCTCTTGGGCGATTTTCGGACTTCCAAGCCGTGTGTTGTGTAGCTATGAAATGAAATGACGAGGCTTGGAAACAAAAACATTCTGTTGATCGACCACGGAGAATCACTTGTTCCGGGTCCGCCGGCTATTCTTAGATCGAAATTAACGAAACCCACTTCTCACCTTCTAGTCTTGCTTCCACACGACTCCGTGCATCATGGAGCTCGATGACCGTGTGGGTGCTATATATGCACTCTTTCAACTTATTGAAAATATGATGAAACCTTGAAATTTTGTGTAACACTGAAAACCAACAATGGGTATTCGAGATCTCTTGCATCCGCTATATGAAATGACAAACCTTGGCGAGCAACTTGAGCATCTCAGGAAACTTCCGCAAGCACCAGAAAGAACAAAGCTTGCATGTGGGTCGTCCGTATTTCACGACACTCTGGAATTTTCTGCAGCCATGGAGAACTTTTTGGGGAAGATCGACGCCAGAAACACCAATCCCTATTGAGTCGATGGGGACTTCACTTACACAGTACACAGTACACGGCCCTTGCGATCTACGGAGTACACAGTACTGCGTATCAAGACCGAGGAGGCCATTAGTAATGTGGAGAGACGACTACCTGGACTTCTTTTGCCTCCAGGTTCACCAAGTGTAGGTACCGAGTACCGATGTGGATCTTCCTATGCATTCCCCTTCGACACATTTGTACACCACATATCGTGGAAATCCAGGGAAAAAAAAAACAAAACCCTAACCTCTGAACAGAATACGCCCGAATCCTGACTTAGTGAATCGGTAACCACGAGCCTCATAAGTGCCACTTACCACATGGCGAACCGACAGTACGGAGTAGACGCGAAAATGGTAGCTAAACCGCGGCAGATGGGGGAACTGCAAGAAACTTCAAGTGGGGATATGAAGCCTTTCGATCCAATAACCCCCTCCAAATTCCGATGAAGGGGCACTAACCGAGGAAAGGCTCGTGCGGTCTAGATCCACTTGACTGGCCACGATTCAGCTCGGCATTTGCGAAACGAACGCAGAGGATTGGGCTGCTTGAGCTCAACCCCTTTTGTGATCTGGTTTGGGGATTGCCGGGCTGGTTTGAGATGGAAAGGCTTTCAATATTCTTGCTCAACAAGAACTCATGCGTCCCAGATACTTCATACTTTCTACGGAGTCATATGACTTGATAGCGTTGGCTTCTGATGATGTTAGGATGATATGTGCGGCTCTATCACTATTAAGATTGCACGAAGAAGAACCCCAGAGTTATTCAGTAGATAATCTTCAATCTGCTGTCCTTCCTGGGAAGTCATTCTTGGAAATACCCCAGCAAGGTAAAACGGCAGGCCCCGGCTTCACCGTGCTGCAGGTAAGCGAAATGAACCATGGCCTGGAGTGCCCGATATAGTTAGGAGGTATGGCTTGAGGCCCTAATGACTCGCGTAGGCCGAGGGAACCACGGATCAAGGCCTCGTGGTGAATCTCCACTCGGGTCCGATAAGCGAGATCCAGTTCCTGAACCTGCCGGCAAATACTAGAAGATCGCCCTCCGATATTTTAACAAGAGGTCTAAATTCTTATCTTTTGGTTTGTTCGCTTCCTTCTTACTAACTTCATTCTTTCTGTTCCACGCTCGTTGTCTTTCCTTTTGTCCTTCCGCTATGGTTTATATCTAGAAAACATGGTATGCCGCGTCAAGTCATGAGGGAGCCCCCAGCGTTGTCGTGCCAATTTTGTTATAGGTATTTCATCATCCCCAATCGAAAGAGACGAATATAATCTCCACGAGAGGCAACTGGTCATTGGAAATTGAGTCCCTAACAGACGCAGGTGAAGCGCCCACTCTTGTTGAACGTCGAACCAAGCCCTTGATAGGGTGGCATGTCCTCATCGAAATGGATACCTCAATGCCCCTAGTAGGGCGAAGTCGCGCGATCTTCACTGTCTGTGTAGTCATGATGTGCCTCTCGATCGTGGCTGTCCTACTGCGCGTCTTTGTTCGATCTTATATTGTGCGAGCCTTCGGATGGGATGATACATTGATGGTAGCAGCGGTGGTCGGTCTACCATAAACCGCGTACGAGAACCACGGATTATGCTGACTGAGAGCAGGCACTGTTTACATTCTTGGATATCTGTTGTATTATTGGAACCCACAATGGTGTTGGCCATCGGATCAAGGACTTTACAAGCCTGGATATGCTGCAAACTGCCATGCTGGTATGATAGATGCAAACCCATGCGCCCTGCAAGAGGCTGGATTGAGAAGAATGCTAAGAGTGCCGCGCCTGCATCAGTGGTGGTGGTTAGGTCAAATGCTCTACATCTGGTCATCGGCAGTCGCCAAGGTTTCAATCGCCCTGGCCCTTATTCGTTTGACAGTACGCAAGGTACACTTGATTATCCTTTGGATAGTGATTGCAGTCGTTATTGCGATCGGTCTGATGTTCTGGCTTGTCCTGCTCTTTGACTGCAACCCAGTCTCTTACTTCTGGGAACGGATTAATCCACTCAATTCTGGGACGTGCTTATCAACCGATATCCTCCTTGCCATCGCATACCTTTACAGCGCAATTACCATATTCTGCGACTTTACCTTGGGAATATTCCCCGTCTTTTTGATCTGGAACCTGCAGATGAACGGGAGGACAAAGGCCGCTTTGGGTGGCATTCTAAGCATGGGGGCCATGTTCGTCTCTACTTTCGCACCTACACTGCCCCTGTGTGATACGTCTGTGCTAATATTATTTTTTTAGTGCCAGCGTCGCTGTTGTGATTCGACTCCCCTTCTTGCAAAACTATAAAGACACTGACTTTCTTTGTAAGTTGCAACGAACCCCCAGAGCACGTATTCTACAGTTCCGATATGGGATGCCCTCTTTCGTGCGTTTTTTATCTTGGGATAAAAGCTTATAGCTTTTGTTAGATTCAACCTACCAAATTGCGATTTGGTCGGTGATGGAGACCGGCCTCGCTATCATTGCCGGCAGTCTCATTACACTGCGCCCTCTATTCCGTTGGTTCCTGGATGGAACCGCTTCTTACAACACGAACGAACGTAGGGGGAAGTATCCTCTATCAAGCCTTACCGGGAATACCTCCAAGACCGCCGCCTCTCGCGACCCCAGATATTGGCGTCCAGATATACCCTCGGACGATACCTCTACCTTCGTTGTGACTGCAGTATCATCGCCGGACCGTCTTCACGCTGATGGTAATAGCAGTCAAGAGGTTCTGTACCCTGTGCCGGACCCTTGGCTACCCCCAAACAGTGTCAATGTGCACAAAACCTTCCGGGTTGGAGAAGAGGAGACCTGAATATTATCCGACCCTTCTGTCCATTGAGTGTATGGTCAATTAGAGCCTAAGGTAGATCAGAGCGCGAACTAGCATTCTACGCCTGGAGGATATACTTATATCTAATAAAATAATACATAGAAATAAAAACATTCCTTTACTCCAAGTAGCCTACCCTGTCATGTCTCAGCCCGCTGATCCAAGTAGCGATCCTGATGTGTGTCTACCTCCAAGCCTGATGGGATTCTCTATCTTCCAATGCGGAGTCCATCGGTACATCAAGAGACAAAGGGCTTCTAAGATCGAGGATGACAATGATACTTATCGCATGTACATCTCCGTTGTAAGATAGGCTTTCGTCCCAATATCGAGTACGAAGCAATACGACGAATTCTGTATTCAACTGTCTGTTATATATAGCGTGATTACAGATTATCGGCCCTCAATCCATCGGAAACCGTCAAGGATTCAGGCTTTGGTTCGGGGTGCCACCGACGAGCCTGCCCAGCATTGTCAAGGCCACTTGAATCCTGATAAATCTTGCCAACCTCTCCTATGAGCCCTTTTAATAGCACCTCGCATTCCAAATCGTATTGTCGTTGGAGTGATTGATATATTTGCGAATCTTGCAAGGATTCTCGTTTTCTCGGCACTGCAGGAATCAGTAAGCTAACAACCAGGCTATGATAGCACGTCTCTTACCGGCCACGCAGGGTCACATCCCCATCGAAGATCAATTTTACTTTGCTTAGAGTTGACCTGACTGGCCGGTGGGCTTCTATCCCGAGCAACGCAGATCCCGTGTGTCGAGGTTTTATGATCCGTCACCAAGCATTCCTGTATACAGTCAGTCATGCGGCTTTTGTTTAGCGCGAGCATCGGTTGACGAACACCGTCATAAGCTTCAACTTCTTGTTTTACAGCATCGGCGAGTCGTGGTAAGGAAGGCTTAGCGCCACCTGCGGCTGGGGGTGGTCCGGCATGACTGACAGAGAGGATAGTAAAGATCAAGAGAGTGAAAGTCGTTATCTTCATGTTGAGATGAGTTGGTTGAGATGAGTTGCCAGCGAGTCAGCTTGTCGATAGTGTCCTTATTGAGAGCCTTATATATGTTAATATTTCAAAGGTGAGAATCGTGTCTCATTTCCCAGTCTTGATACTTTGTTTGACTGTGCCCGCCGGCACAGACTTTGAACTCTCCCTCTTCCCCCTTTGTTTTGGTGGTTCACGAATTGGTCGAGGTACTGTAGGACTATGATATTCTCTTCCTGTAGAACTATGAGCGATTTCTGGGTTAGATGCTGACGGCCCGTTCTGCAGCGTCGGGCGTCGGGCTCTTGAGTCTGCTTCCTAGGGCAAAGATCAATCCAGACCTCCACGGGCTGCATAAAGTTTGAATAAGGTTGATGGGAAAACTCAAAGACAAACGCCAATGAAGCCATGGCGCAACTGGATTGGATTAAGACCCACCCTCAAAGGCTCCGGTGCGATGTTCATACAGTTAGATCTGTGGAGCAAGACCGCAACACGGCATATATGCTGGCCATGAATCGTGTAATTGTCCCTCCGTGGTGCGGTAATTTGTTTGGAGACACATAAAGACTCACCCATCAATGCTTTCTAATACTATAGTATGAACGCTCACTGGGGAACACTACTTTCTGCCTACCCAAGTATACGGTCAATATTGAAATAGGTGAAGCCTTTTCTAAATTTCTATTTAATTATATTATAACATAGTCTCGTTGGAGTATCTGATTGCTGCTACTGAGCATTGAATCTCGAGCCGCATCAGGCTATAAGCTCAAAGATTCGGTCAACTGGATGTCCAGCACACTCTTTCCAACATAGAGAGGGTAGCGTCCTGCCTGTAGCCCCCAATTCTGCTTCTCCGTATCCCAAGTGCTGAGGTCGCGACGAGTAAGGTTGAATGTCACCTGCACCTGTGCTCCAGGCTCAATGAGCTTCTTCTCGAATCCTCGCAGGACCTTGGCTGGGCCACCCGGGATGCCAACATAGAGCTGGGCTACTTCTGCCGCCGCCACAGACCCGGTATTCGACACAGTGCAAGTTACAGTAGCGATGATATCCCACAGGGAAGCAAGACCGCCCTCTGCCACAGTAGTACCTGGAGCTAGGTAGCTAGTGCTCACGTCTGACGATGTGGAAACCTTCAGGTCAGAGTAGGAGAAAGTGGAGTAAGTCAATCCATATCCGAACTCGTACCGAGGGGTGATATTGGCAGCTGCGAATGCCTTGTAGTCAATGTAGACACCCTCGGTGAAGTTATCCTGGGGGTAGTAAATATCGTCGGTACCGGATTGAATGGTCGGGCTGAGGAGACTGCCGTAGTCGGACTCTTGCTTGGCCACAGTGTAAGGCAGACGGCCAGATGGGGATTGTTTGCCGTACATGACCTCCACAAGGGCTCTGCCGCTATCCTGTCCGGGAAGATGAGCGTAGATGACGGCCGTGATGTTGTCATTGTCAATCCAGCGGTCAACGAGACGAACGCCAGCATTATGGATGACGACCATGGTGTTGCTACATTGTGCAGCAACGTTCTGTACCAACTTGTCAGAGTAGGGATCCGCCAAATATGGTCGATCCCATCCCTCTGAGGACTGCTCGTTGATAAACACCACACAGGCGTCACTGGCCGGGTTCACCAGGGGGTTCTGAGATGCAAAGTCCCAGGCGAGGAAGGTATCATCGTCATATGCTTGGCGCTGGAACGCATTAAAGGGTGCGTCAATATAAGATGCGGTGCTGGCACCCGAGCCACCGCCAGTAATTGTCGTACCGTTGAGCGCAACACCGGGGCCATAGGCCCTGGGGTCTGTGCTCGAGAGAAAGATATACTTAAGCATCATTGGGTCCACGGCTGAGCCATTAGGATATGTTAGGGTATTATCATAGCCCATAGACCACATGTTCCAATCAAGATCATCCATCGTGTTATGAGCAGGAGCGACGGCGTCATATCCAAAGAGTGAGAGGAACTGAGGTTTCTTAAGAGGGAGGGCATTGTTTGTATTCTTGACCAAGACGTGTCCTTCGACTGCGCCTTGGAAGATAGTGGACTTAGACTTTGGATCGCGGGCGTCGGTAAGATTGTGGGGAGCGAGAAGGCTGTATGGTAGGCCATGACCGGGGTTGGCAATCTCCGCATATTTATACCAAGTAGCGACAATGCGGGTGGCCATATCGTCAAGACGTGTGGAAGACAGAGACTCGTTTTTGACAGCCAGGGCAAGGGTGCCATTCTCCCAGTACGAAGATGTAGGCATTACCATATCTAACCCGGCCTCTGCACTGGCAATCCCAGTATGCTGAGCACCCCAATCGGTGACGACAAATCCTTGGAAGCCCAGTTCGCCTTTGAGCAGGCCATTCATAGTCTTGCTATTCTGGCAACCGTAGCTATTGTTGATCCGATTGTAACTGCACATGACAGAACCGGCGCCGGCCTTGACTGCATCCTGGAAGGGCCATAGATAGAGCTCATGCATGGTTTTATCGTCTATGTTGGTGGAGAGTGATTGGTTTCGACTGTTCTTCAGCATTGATGGCGTCGAGCGATGCGCTTCCTGTTCATTTCCAATGAGATGCTTCACGCAGGAAATCACAGATTCTTGCATACCGCGAACGGTATCGCCAGTCAAGGCCCCGGACAGATAGGGATCATTGCTAAAGCCTTCCCAGTTGCGACCGCCTCGCGCTATGCGGCCTATAGGTCCAGCGACTGGACCAAGTGCAACGTTGACTCCCTTTCGCTTGAACTCGGCGCCCATATATTGGGCGCGGCTGTAGGTAAGGTCGCGGTTCCACGAGGCTCCCACATGAACTCCTGATGCGTAGGAGTTGACCATATCCGTACCTCTCACACCATTTCCAGCATCCTGGAGGCAAATCCCAGGGAACCCCAATCGCGGGACGCCTCCACTAGTCCCAGAGCAACCGTTAGTTGTAGAGGAATAGCCGTATGTGATGTTATTCTTCTCCTTGTTAGACATCTGTGCGACGAGTGACCGGGCTTTGGTGAAGGCCTCTTCCCAATCCCCCAAACCCTGGATCTCAGCTATGAGTATGGTATTAGTTATCTAAGCGGCGTCTCCGGCTGGGGCTTGAACAATGACTGCTTACGGGTTGGATAGACGGGCTCTGAATGCCCATACGCCCAGTAGCGCTCCAGCTCGGCCACATCGGACGCACGATTCTGCACAGCAGCGGCTGCTGCTGGCTGCAGCGCAACAATTGTAGAAAGGGCCACTGACAGCTTCATCTTCGAGACGCCCACGCAGGGAAGCCGACAAAGAAGAGAAGAAGAAGCTAGGAAATTAGGTGCGTGCTACTTTCTCAGATTCAAGGAGTGCAATATTGCGTGCAACTCATGCTTTTATAGTCCTCCAAGACACACGCACGCAGGCCAGACCCATGATCCCATCATGCCAGACCTCGGAACTCCCCCAGACTCGGTCTCAATCACCTATTCCCCGCGATGTCGGCTTCGTATCTGTCATAGTCGGCCGGCCTTCAGCATGGATTCTTCTAGGGTACTAAACCAACCAACCAACCAATCCCTAGCGCCAGCTGCAGAATTTCTCGCATAATATGTGGAGTAGCGGAAATTGCTTCGGGTTTGGTTTCCTTCAAAGCTGCGGGGACCCCACATTCCTCTCCCCACATTGTCGTTTAAACGGCCTCAGAACCACGCTTCGGCTGAACCCCGGTAAAAGAAACGACAGGCTGGACAGTGGTTTGTATGACTACAACCTTTCTAACTGGCTATATCTAGTGTAATTGGCCCACAGCCTGATTTGGACTTGACCCTATCTGGTAGCCAAGACTGCTCCCACGGTCTCGGAAACAGTCCGGGGATAAAGCCATGACCCATGGAATAGAGAATGGTCTGGGGAACCATGACACACTGAAGAGATCGGCGCAAGGATTCCGTGTCCGGCAGTAGACTTCGGCATCGCAGCATACGATGTGGTAAGCTGGCCGACATTTCACCGTCGACATTGATCTGAACCAGGTACAACGTTTGAGGAAGTGGAGCCTAGATTAAGTCTACACGGGTTCTAATTTGTTGTTCAAGTATAGCTCATCCTTCGACTGGCTTTTGACCCTCGACGTGGTTATTTAGACGAGGTACCAAATCCCACTTGGCAGCATATTGCTAGGAGCTAGTCCACCGTTGACACCATCAAGTACTACATGAAGTCTTGGCTCGGGCCAGACTCGGCGCTTGAATTGCTGCATTTCCGTCAACCCATACCCAGATCCAGAGGCGGGAGTAGGGATACCCAAGCTGCTGACCTTTCTGTGGTTCTGACTTTCAACCTTTCTACGTTACTTGCGTTTCCCCCGTTTTTGTGCTACCAGCCGTCCGCTCATGGGGTTGTTTTCTCTAGATATGCTCCTTATACTCCGTATCTCGGAGAGACATACGGTATCCCCATCGGAGGTTGTGACTGCGGGCCGGCGATGAAATCGGGTTTCGGCTCCTAGATGGCCCTGGCCTTTCGTTAAAATGTCTGTGTAGACCCTCCTCCTGTCTTTAACCTTACGTCATGTTTATTCTTCTCCTCGAGTATTACGTTATTATGTTACAACGGCCTCTATCAACAAGGATCCGGGCATGCTTGTACTTTCAATCTCTAAATCCTCCAGTAGTCTTGTTCTGTCACGAGGCTCTGATTGATTCAATACCCTAGGATCTTTGTTCGCCTTGTTGTATCTACTATACTTCTTCCTTCTTTTTTTCCGTGTCCATATAGAAACCATTGGTAGTGTAGGTGTTGTGGATTGTACGAAGCAATTCTTTTCAGCTATGTGGTCAGAAGCAAATGAAGTACATTCAGTAGGAGATGTTGAATTCTCCTGTTACTGAGCTACCTAGACACTGTACCAAATACATTCAAAGCCTACCCAACCCTACAGAATACCACTCCCTGGGCCACCCCGGTCCTTAGATGGCAGTGACATCAACCCAGAAGCGGGTGTCGTCCGACTCATATTTCTTGTCGCTTTCAATTTGTGATTTGATCCATTGAACGGCATCGCGGTACCCTATCGTTATTTAGCATCGATGAATACATTGCAACGAAAGGCGCAGCATGAGAATACGCACGCTTGATGTCGTCTGTGTTAGGGTTCTGGACACCAGATTCCCCATTGCGATGGCCAGCGAACCAGACATCAAAACCGAACTTTGCCTCTCCATCGTGGCGGGCCTGGATATCCTTACCCAGATCGCTGCTGTAGGGGTATCAGTATTTACTAATTAAGCAAGTAAGCCATGCTGACGTACTTTAGAATTGCACCGTTGTTGACATCACCAACACTCTGCCCCAGAAACTCGGATGCTGAGTGGCGGAGCATGTACCAATTCTGTTTGAAGATTCCAAAGTTCGTGGCATCTCCAGACTTGCCGTCACCTATATACGCATGATCGCATTAGCCGATTCCATCATGTCTGCTATCATGGAACAACTCATACCATATGGATAGTCGGTGCCCATATTCTTCGTCTCAAGCATGGCAATTGCCAGGTCCATGGTACTGCCCCCGGCACCGGTGACCTGTTGCTTGCGAGATCCGAGGCCAGAGATCTGCTCAGAGCCTCGCTTGTCATCACGCGCAGCCACACTGGCGCCCTGAGGCAAGGCTGACGAGAGACCAGTTTGAAGAAGGGCAAGAGTGACTGCGACGAAAGCTTGGAACTTCATGGTGGTTGATAAAGGAGAATGAGCAAAAGACTGCTGTTGGAGGTTCTTCGATGGAATTGCGAACTGGAAGTTGAGAAACATGCCAAAGAAAGCCATCGATTTATACTGAAGATGCGGATAGCTAGTTTCTGTGCTCTATACTCCTGTCAGGGTCTGTTGTTGACCCCGATCAGGCAGTTCCCAACACTTCCGTTCTAAAACTGGAAGAGATCTTCACACTCAGCCAACGGTATGACGTACTTTCATTGCCGAATCCAAGTGTAAGAGCAGAGGTGTCCTTGGCATATACGAGACGTGCCTAGCGTCTCGTTCCGAATTAGCTCTGCGGAGCAACCCCGGACAGCTTCACGCCACGCCTCCAGGGTTCAATCCGGAGCAACAGTCCGTTACCAAATCGTACTAGTTGTCGATCCAAAGTTTATCTCCTCGCTAAGCAGAGATACATAGAGGCTCACGGCTCACCTCAGAGGAGTTACATCCACTTCCTATAGCCCAGATGGCGAGGACCGAGGTCCAAGTAATCGTAGATTCAGGGTTTGTATTCGTCACCAGGACCAATAAGGACTGACGGTCTTCGACTTGATTGAACACGGACATATCTCCATGACCCTTCTATGTTCCAGTGCTTACCTGACGTCGGCATGTAACCATTCGACCCCCGAGACACGGCACGCGGCAGTTTTTGGTGGATCTCGTCAGCCGTCATGTTCTGGAAGTCGGCAACTCCCGGCTATTTAAAGCAGTACCCCACGTGCCTGGCGTGGAAGTATCAATCCACCACCGCTATTAGTGGAAGTTGACGGGTTCGTACATTCCGGGGCCGTCTCGACATCATGCAATATGTACGCCGTTCTAGGGTTGTCTTGACGTCAAGCACCGACACGGCTTTGTAGCACTGCGCCAGATACCGGCGAGTTTCATTGACACGGGCTGCTATCGGCCTCTTGTTTCAGAGACGTCTCGCCTTGTTGAGCAGCCGCTTCTAGCCACGCTGAGCGGGAAAGTAGACTCACTTTGTGAATACGTGCAACCGTAAAAGCCTGTTCCCGGGATGCTACCGAATTGGACACGGTCGCATGAGAAGAAGACAGACGAGTCGACCTGGTCCAGCGCTGTAGTTGGACCAAATCAAATAGTGTCGTCTCAAACTAGCCTGTTTAACGCCATGTCGGCGTCATCACAAGGCTACGCGGGTTGGCCACAGCAGGGATCTGTATATACTTACGATCGAGATTGAAAAAAGAGAAATATCTGCGTCGAGAGTCATTCGTCAGTGGGAGCAGCATGTGAAAGACTGGCTGAGATATTGTCAAGGAAATGAACTATATTCTGAGATTTTCCAAGCGAGTCTAAACTTGGTCTGGTAACTTGTGGAATCATGGCGTGTTGTTATTGCAATCTCTTTGAGTTATTTAGTGAAACAACAGGGTAGGGCACGGCCTCTGTACCTGGAGTACCATCCACCAGCTATGGACTGTTCTTCAAAGATTAAAGCCGGGCTTCAAATTTCTACCGTAGCGAGACACACAAGCACAGTACTAATATCAGTGCCATTGCTACATTCATAGAGGCTATACAGTAATCACAAAGACTTCCACGCGGAGAAGCAGAAATGTTGCGTCCAGAAACTTGACTTTCACTACAAGATCGTCCGATTCTTTTTGTGGTCGTTTTCTTTTCTTTCTTTCTGTCTTTTTTATTATAGTATTATTGTTCACAGGTCCCTGACAACTCGCTTTCCGTATTGCACTTGGTGGATCCCCCTATTCAAGGATATGCCAACCATAACAAAGAGCTGGGGCATAGGCCTTTTCAGAGAGTCCAACTTTACCGTGCCCCGTTACGCCCGAATGTAATACCCCCTGGCAAGACCGATATTCAAGAAATGCCATGCATCTGTCATGTCAATTTCATATGAATTTGTCTTTCTAGCCCTGGGGCACACGCATGAAGTTGCTATGAGTGGAGGCATTCCAATGATCGCTTAGGGACGTATGGTCAACAATGGAAAGCTAGTAATCAGATCGAACAGTACCCTGGTCTTGGGAAATTGAAGCGCAGCCTCGGAAATCAAGCGAAACCAATGGACCTCTCTGGTAATAAAGTGCCAAACTAAAGTAGCGCCCAGCTTTGCTCGGGCGTCAGACTTCAAAGGATCTACCCTCCTAGAAGATAACCTAGCATCCGCTAGTCGTATACATGTTTGGTCCATACCAAACCAACACGGTTCTAAGCCGTCTCAACCTAATTTGTTGTACACCCATTGCTTAAGACTACACTTACAAGCGCCCGGCTTTGGTGGTCCACCCTTTTCAGCTATATAGTAAACGATATTCACCCAATATAACCCTATTCTCTGGCTGTAGCAGTCTGTTGTTGCAGGTGAGCCTCCGTCATTTAAAACATTATACCGTTTTGACCAGAATCCTGCGTTCCAACATGAACACCATCATTCTCACTCTTTTCATCGTCGCCCTTGCCTCTGCCATTCCCGCGCCGGGCCAGCCGGGCAATCAGGTCGGCCAGACCGATCAGACCAGCGCAGGGCAGAATCCTCCGACGCTAGGGGCCCCAGGCGTGAAGAATAGGATGATCGGCGGTGTAAGTTAATTCATCTACCATGTTCTTGCTGGGTGTATTGCTAACCTTACCAAGACATGTGGTAAGAGTCTGGACAATATGTATGAAGAATGTACCGCTCGGGAATTCACAGGCGTGTGGAAAGTTGATTGTAGCACCCCGGTAAGGAGACTCCTGAAGCTATTCGTGCGTTGAGAAGTACACATGTACTAATTTCGTAGTGTACGGAAGGTATCTGCTTCATCGATACGGGAAGAGGTGTGAGCACTAAGCCCAAGGCGCTTTGCCACTATCCTAAGAAGGGAATTTCGTGATTGAAGGGAAAACAATTCGAGACGCGGACAAATGGCTCCTCGGGAGCTTGCTTCAACGGAGTATCAGGACGATATATTGCCATAGGGCTATGTCTCATACATTTCTTCTACCTGCAGGAATGCGCAAGGGAGAGAGTTCAGGTCCAACGCCAGTCCAGTCTCATTCATACAATAATTCTCAGTCTACCATTTTGAAGATGACAGTTCTAGAATATGTTCGAATATCAATGATAACTAGATCAGCCTCTTCGGAGGCATGCTCCTGGGACAGTCGGGTGGCCTTATAGAGGCTCTGGAAGGTACATCCGGCAGGCAAGCATCTCCTTATTCACAGTCGTAGGATATGTACTTAAAAAGTCACGCTTCAAAGGTGGAGCCTATGATGCCCCCGATCTCCCCAGCAGTAGTGCCTGCTAGAATTCCCGTACCTATTAGTCCCCCATCATTCACATCGCGAAGAAAGATACTTTTGCCTCCTTGTTGCGGGCCAGCACGAATCAGGAGCTGGTCTATGTATCTTTGAGCCTTTTGTTTGTAGTGTGGAAAATGCTGCATGACTCCGCCGGAAACAGCGACAGCCAGTTCTTCTGGGCCATTCTTCCACCTTGTTGTGGACTCCTCGGTCTGTGTATTGCCATTCGAAGCAGCTAGTGTCAAAAAGTCTCTATGATTGTGAGGCGGTTGCAAGGCAATCTCTTCGGCGCATACAAGAAGACCAACAATAACTGCTGCGACCAGGGAAGCCGCTCTGTCCTGGACGAAGTTTGTAATGGCACGCAGATCCCGTGAGGAATCCGCTGTCCAACGCCAGTCACTCATCGAAGGCTGCGGCAGCTCCTGAGACAGCTCCACTGCTAACCCCTCATCAGACTGGTTGGAAGCCACCTTGAGAGAAAGGAAATCTGTCGAAAGCGAGTGCTCTGTAACCAGTTTCACAGGCAATGCTGAGCGCGGGATGCCTAGCACATTATGAAACCAGTCAAAGGCGATGAGCCGCACTAGCTCACCAATATACCTTCCGCCAATCATTAACTCCAATGGCTGAAATCCCGGCCTTTCACAATGGTTGTCGAGTTCTATATCCCATTTAGTTCGGAGATCCAGCTCAAAGATTGGTGTTGAGGCACTAGATAATGTCCACTCCGTCGAGACCAGAGCCTCCTGGGCACTTGGATCCTTCTCCCGGATATGCTGGACTTTACGCTCATGTAGGTCGGCTATCTTTAATGGAACAGTAGCATTGGAGCCAGCACCGACAATGAAGCCCATTACTGCGCGCGTATTTGGGAACGAGTGGATTGTATAAGCCAGCGAGCAAAGTGTTGACGAAGTATCATTTGTCATCGCTGCAATCCTTAGCCTTGGAAGGTTGAAAAGCTTTCGTCGTTTGGCAGGCATCCGCTGCTCATCTTCATCTTCACCAGGGGACCAGGTGTGACGCTCGTAACCATCCAGTAATGCTTGGTGCAAGTTAAGATCAGTCTTCAATGCGAAGCCTTTCCCTGTTGGCATGAGAATGGCCTCATTCAAACATTTTTGTCTAACCTTCCTCGTTAGGTTTTATCTCGCGGCGTATGAGTCAAGTTGGATATCATGATGCCTACCTGATGGGGAAACAAAAAGAGATACCGGTCGTCAGCTCGCGCGGTACCTCTTCATTTGGATTGTTCAAGCTATCTCTGACAACATCTGCAATACAGTCTCCTATGAAGGTAAACAGTTCTGGGGCACGGTCTCTTCGCAGGTGCTCCTCGATTGGCCAAGCCTTTTCAAGTGTTCGTCGCACGCGCTGTTGATCACCCAACAAATCGATAAAGGCCACCCGGAGATATGAGAGACCCACGTAGACCGCGAGATACCGACCCGTTTCCAGTCCAGTTGGCAGTCGGGTGATGGGAGTGGGGAAGAAATGTTCGGGGGAGGCCGCTAACTTCTTATAGGTTAAGGAAAGGCGGTATGACAATTCATACAGGGTATCTATTCCTATACGAAGCGGCTGCAGAAAGCTCGAGAGATCCGAGAATGGCTTTGCCGATGTGTGCGACATGCCGCCTGAAGGTGTAGCGGTAGGGAGTTCGGTTTGCGTCTTCAGCCACTACGAAATGT